CTGCGGTGGTGACAGGAGGACCACAGACACCCACAGAAAGGGTGGTGACAAGGCCATGTTAGGAGGAAGCGTGGACCCCCGAGAGAGAGCATCCAGCTTCCTAAGTGGCCTCATCAGCATCTGCCAGGAGTCAAATTTGAAACTGAAACGGCGGAACAGGATGATGAATAATTAGGCTTTGGGATGTACCCAGATTGGCAGCACGAACCCGGCTTGTTGCAGTGTAAAGCTCCGGGCAGCACACCCGACACATCAGCACATGACAGGCAAAGGGACGTGTTTAAACATCCAAAGTGTCATGAAACTTTAAATGAAACAACAAAGCGAGGGACTTTCCCTCTCTACAACACGCGCAAAGCAAAACAAGAACAGCACAGAGCCACACACAGTAAAGGATTTGTAGCACAAACTCACTTCCTAGAGAAGGAAATGAGGGCCCTGAAGAGTTATTCAAGATGATCCAAAGCTGAGGGGGAGGTCCCTCTGCCTCACCACACTAGCTTGCTCTCAATAAACAAAGCAAGAGACAGAGGGAGAGCGGCAGGAAGAGAGAGAAGGAGAAAATTAGAGAGAGGGAGGGAGGGAGGGAGAAGAGAGAGAGGGAAGGAGGGAAGGAGAGAGGGAGGGAAGGAAAGAATGATCCATTTCTGTTATTAGCTGTTATCAACAAAGGATCCACGTATCTCGGAGAACTTTATTCATCAGGACTAAAAGCTAAACAATCTAATACTGTCTATTCTGGAAAGGGAACTCAGGCCTCGGCGGAGCCTGTACAGAGCCACTGCATGCCAGCCAGTGCCGCCCTTCCAAATTCTTTTCACATGAACCACAGTTCAGGAGAAAGGGGCTCTGAACTGCACATCGGGTCTGTGGAGAATCAAAGGGCCTCACACTTACACCCTGCCATAGTCAAGAGGAAGGAAGCTTCTGGAAGTCCCTGGTTCCTTTCCAGAAGGACTTAGAGCTGCTGAGACAGGAGACTGTGGGTCACTGAAGCTCTGAGGTCGGTCTTGCTATTCTGAGAGTCCTCAGCTATGTTTAGACCTAATTTTCCCAACAAGCCATAGGAAAAAATGGCATGCAGGGATGGGAATGAGGAGAAGCTGGGTACAGGGCATGCTGGGAAAGCAGCGTCACAGGCACAGAGCTGAGGGACAGACCGCAGCAAGTCCCGCCTGTTTCTGCAGCCTAAGGATGGGGGCACCAGGACCCGCCAGACCTCGGGCAGCTTGGGGTTGTGTGGATGAAGAGGAGTTTCCTGGCTTCTTCCTCTTATCCTCAAAGTCTTTCTAAAGTGGCACAATTGCTAAGGCCATCAGGATGAAAAACAAATGCTCAACTAAAGAAACGACTAAAGTATTAAGTTAGAAGACTCATATATTTGAGCCAGACACTGGTGGCTCATGTCTGTAATTCTAGCCACTTAGGAGATTGAGATCTGAGGATCACAGTTTGGAGCCAGCCCAGGCAGGACAACCACTGTATCTCCAATTAACCACCAAAAAGCTGGAAGTGAAGCTCTTACTAAAGCGGTAGAGGTCTGGCCTTGAGTGAAGAAGCTAAGGGATGATGCCCATGTTCTGAGTTCAGGCTCTAATACTGGTGTGTGCACATATGAGCGTGTGCATGTACACACACACACACACACACACACACACACACACTCTTACATTAAGTTGAAATCTGCCATGATTTGCCTTGAGTAGGTTGGGTTAGCTCTCTGTGGTGAGCACACAGAAAACAATATATTATAGCTGGCTTCTAAACTGTATAACCCAGCTAAAAGACATACACAATTAAGGTGTTTTTTGTTGTTGCTTCTTTAAAAATAAAACTCCAGAAATGATCACCTTTTAACATCCAATCCATGGATTAATGATATCGCAGATCTAAATGCTTACACTTCAAAAGGGAAAGATGAAAAGAAACCTTACAAAGTTCTAAAATTTATAATTTATTGTGTTTCAGTGTATTTGCTAAAGTTTATTGATTTAAACAGGTCACTGGTTGTGTGCCTTTAGCCCTAGCTGTTCAGGAGGCTGAGAGCTGGAGGGTCACAGTGCAAGGCCAGCCTGGACAGGAAGTTTGTAAGACTCCATCTGAACAGAAAAAGCTGCGTGTCAGAAAGATCAAACAGGAGAACTGCGGTTCAGGCTAGCTTGGGGGAAAATGGAAACTATCTCAAAAATAACCAAAGCCAAAACGCACTGGTACATAGTTCAAGTGGAAGAGTCCTCCTAGCAAGTGTGAAGCCCTGTGTTCACACCCCAGTATCACTAATAAAAAGAAAGAGAGCTGAAAGGAAGAGAAGAGAGGAGGAAGGGAAGGAGAGTGGAGGGAGGGAGGAAGGAAAGGAAGGGAAGGAAGGGAGGAAAAGAGGGAGGGAGGGAAGAAGAGAGGGAATAAGGGCAGAAGGAAGGGAAGGAAGAAAGGGGGGAGGGAAGGAGGAAAGGAACTGTCCAGACTTTAACATCCACTCAGTGAAGTGCTGAAAGTGAGGCTCCAGTGGAGGAGTGCCTGCCTGACAAGTATAGGCCGAGTTCAAAATAACTTATTAAAAACAGCTTTAAATTTTATGTTTATATGGTACCAAGGAATCGAATCCAGGGCCTCATGAATGCTAGGCAAGCACTCTACCACTAAGCCACATTTCCAGCCCCATCAAGATAACTTTAAAAGGGGAAAAAAAATGTATCACTTCGGGCTGGGAAGGTGGCTCAGTGGTAGAGCGCTTGCCTTGCATGCATGAGGCCATGGGTTCGATTCCTCAGCACCACATAAGCAGAAGAAAAAAAAAAGCCACAAGTGGCGCTGTGGCTCAAGTGGTAGAACACTCATTCGCCTTGAGCTGAAGAGCTGAGGGACAGCGCCCAGGCCCACAGTTCAGGCCCCACAACCAGACCCCCCCCCCCAAAAAAAAAGTATCACTTCAATAGTCAAATAAAATCAAGTCTGTTATTGAAGAAACACATTGATTTGTGTTTATTAGTGATATGTTAGAAGTATCTAACCCTACCTACCAACTGCACCAAATGACTGAAAAGAGCCAGGATGTAGAAGCGCTTAGTAAGGAAGCATTTAATGTCTAAAATGCCGTGAGGCATTAGGTGGCAGTTTTACCAATGAGCTCGGGCCAACACAAGTAATGCTGTCCCCTGTAATAGTAGGGTAGGCCAGGCACCAAAACTTGGGAATCCAACCCCGAATTTAAGCATAGGTGTGTGCCCTGGCAACATATACCTCTAATGCCCACTGAGCCCTGTTTTCCCACTTGAGAGTGCCAGACTTGGATCACAGATGAGCACTCCTTACTGGCGGGCGTTTCGCTATTAGGAGACCTCTGTGTAGACCCGTGAAGTGTTCAGAGCACACTTATTCACAGGTGGCTCAAACATGAAGTGTGACAAAGTCATGTTATCACTTGTGTACCATCAGTGAGCTGAGGCCAAACCCAAGTCATTTCCCAGTGCTGTACAGCTAGGAGCCAAAGCGCCAGATGCAGGATGCAGGTGTCCAAACTAAGGCCAGTGCTCTTCTCAGTGTCTTCTCTGGCTAACATGGGAATGTAATGGAGCCAAGTCCTCTAATGGCTAAAGTGCTGTGATGCAGGGGCCGGCATCCATTCAACTCACTAAGCCACTAGACACTGCTCTTCTGGGTATGAAGGGCCCAGCAAGGAACAAAAGAGAAATCCCTGGCCTTACCGAGCTCACACTGTGGTTGGGAAGGATCCACAAAGTCAATGAGCAAAATACAGGGTATATTATAGTGCTAACTGCCATGGAGAAGGAGAGCAGTATGTTCTGTAATTTACAACTCAGTCCTTCCAAGCCAACCCGGAGCGACATGAGGAGCAGCAACAATAACAAATCTAAAATAGTTTTCCTAAGCATTTGCCCAAACAGGGACTACTATGGATACAGGGCCTGCAGCTGCAGTTTGCCAGTGTCTGGCCTAACCTCTGGACTGGCAGTTCTGAGCTGTCCCACGGGCCTTGAAGTAAAGACACCCTTCACCCCTTTCAATCTACAAAGGAGTGTAAATATGGGTACAGGACAGGGCCAGGAGATGCCAGAAGTTTCGAGGGCCCTGGAACTGCCCCTGAGTTAGCACTACCAACTCCTTTGGTGAAGGTTAGACTGTAGCTCTGGGCTGAGACTACAGTATTCATCCTCTGGCTTTTTCTGAGCCATCAATTCCAGTGACATTCACTATATTTAGCTAGCTTACTGGGCACTTTCTCCATCTTTTAGCGTTCCCCTTTCTTTTTATTACCAGCAAATCAGTGTAGTAGTTTTTTTAAAAAAAAAGCTGCTAAAGGAAAGGCCAGCTGTCTCCAGTCAGGTCTGATTCACTGTATAAGCAAAGCCACTGTCTTATCAACCTTTTAATTAACCTGGTTAGTCGTGCCGGAAAATCAGGTTTACGCCTGGTTTTCTTGAACTTTTAAAAGAACCTCTCGAGTCCCCCAGGATCTCGGGATCTTCAGGTTGTAACTGTATCCAGAGAATGGCAGAAATTCGCGACACTGGAACGAGGGTCGGTAAGGCACCACCCATCTTTCCCTGGAGTTCTCTGGAGGGAGTGGCTCGTCTGACAGGCGAACTCCGGCCCCGGGGTCGGGTTACCGGTCCGAGGAGCCGACGCGACCCGGCTTTCCCTTCCGCCCAGACCCGGGGTGTTGGTTTGGCTTCCCCGAGGAGGGGCGCGACCCGGGCGGGCCGGAGGCGCCGGTCCCCGCAAACTTCGGCGGGCAGCGGGGCGGGCGAAGCGGCGGCTCTCCCGGGCCGGCCCGCGCCCGGTCCGTCGGAGGGCCGCCGGGGCTCCGAGGCCTGACACACGGTCCCGGGGACGGCGGAGGGCTCGCCGCCCGAGGGGCAGCGCCGGGGCCGGGGGCCTGGGGCCCGGGCCGGGTGGCTGTACCGGGCGAGGGCGGCCCGGCGGGCCCGGGCCGGGCGGCCGCTCCCGGGGCCGGGGCTGGGGCCGGGGCCCGCCCTCACCTGATGTACGGGCTGGCCGCCGCCAGGATGTTCTTCTGCACCGGGATCTCCTCCCCGTCCAGGACCAGGTGCGCGTCGCAGAACCGGGACTCCTCGCGGAAAGAGCTGAGCGCCCGCAGCAGGCGCGCGGCGTGCTGAGGGTCGGACACGGCGCTGCCCTCGGCCATCGCGGCGCCCGCTCCTCCGCGGCCGGCCGGGCTCCCGACGCCGCCGGCCCGGACCCCTGCAGCCGCTCGCGCCCCGCCCGCACACCCCGCGCGCCCCGCCCGTGCGGCTCTCCGAGCTCCCAGCCCGAGCGAGAGCTCCCGGAACGCGCCGGCGCCATCCACGGCGAGCCGGCCCGGCGCCTTTAAGGAGCAGCGGCGTGACGTCTTTTCTCCGCGACGCCCCCGCGCTCTTACGCCCCGCCCTCTCGCTCGGCAGCCAATCAGAAGCTGCCTCCCTCCGCCCGCGGCGGGTGGGAGCCGCGGCGCAGCCCGGGTGATGCCGCCCGGCGGACCCGGCTGTAGTTGTGCCCGTAGCGCCGGGGCCGCGAGTTTGAGCCCAAGTTTCAGCCCTTCTGTGTGCGCCTAGAAGAAGGGTAGTGCTGCCTGGACCATCGGGCGATGGTGGAGATTGCTTTCGGACAGCACTGTAGCCGGGCACTGGGGCTCACCCTGTAATCCCAGCCACCCTGCAGGCTGAGACCTGAGGACGCCGGTTCGAAGTCGGCTGGGTCAGGAGAGTCAGCGAGACTCCTCCCTTAACCAAAAAGCAAGAAGCGGAGCCGTGGCTCAGGTGGTAGAGCGCCAGCCTTGGGAGGAGGAGGACCGAGGCCGAGCAAGAGAGCGGAGCGCAGAGTTGAAGCCCCAGGACCGGCCCACGACCAACACATAAGAACAAGTACATGGAAGGGCGGAACTGTGAAGTACCGACAGTGCTCATAAACGTTCTGGGCTTAGTAACTTCCTGCATGAATGTCAGTTTCTGTCTTTCCAGGACAGATGGAAAATGCTGGAAGTGTGTGTTGGGGGGAGCAAGTGGGAGGGGGGGGAGGGCGGTAGAAAGGCCGCATGTTGAGATGGGACCAGGTTCCCAGCCCAAGAAGACCAAGGCTGTGTCAGGAAGTGGCATAGATGGGCTCAGCCTGCAGGGCGAGCCTGGTGCTTAGGAAGTCTCCCTGTCGCTTGCTAAAAGCAAACCGGTATGTGCGATGTAGTTAGCATTTTGGATAATATTGGGTACTCAGCAAGACTACAAAGGCTAGCAGTCTTAGGAGGATCCGAAGATCAGGCCAGCGTGCCAAACAAGACAGAAAGGAGTTTTTACTGTAGCCACTCTTCTCAGTCAACTGAAAAACAACGAATTCTGAACCAACTAAGGCTTTGGAGTCACTGGCAGGAATATGGATATAAGACTGCTTTCAGGCCACAAGATGAGGCGGGTGGATGGGGAACACATGAGGAAAGAACCAGTGGAAGACCCACACATGTCCAGCTCCTTCTTCAAACATATCCTGGAATTTATATGTGCAATGATAAAAGTGTCTAGAGTTTGCTTTAACAACAAAGGGAGAGGAAAGCAAAGTGGGAGTAAAGATGAGTCAGAAGTGGCTGGGCAATGTGCATGTTGGTTTTTTTTTTTTAAAGGAATAATAAAAAGCAAAAAAAACGGCCAGGTGACAGTGGCTCACGCCCATAATCCTAGCTACTCAGGAGACTGAGATCTAAGGATCATGGTTTAAAGCCAGCCTGGGCAGGAAAGTTAATGAGACTCTTTTTTTTTTTTTTGGTCAGTCGGGTGGGGAGAGGGAGGCCTGAACTCTGGGCCTGGGTGCTGTCCCTCAGCTCTTCAGCTCAAGGCTAGTGCTCTACCACTTGAGTGCCACTTCTGGCCTTTTCTGCTTATGTGGTGCTGAGGAATTGAACCCAGGGCCTCATGCATGCAAGGCAGGCACTATACCACTAAGCCACCTTCCCAGCCCATCAGTGAGACTCATCTTCAATTAACCACCAGAAAACTGGAAGTGGTGTTGTGGCTCAAGTGGTAGAGAGCTAGCTTTGAGTTGAAGAGCTCAGGGACAGCGCCCAGGCCCAGAATTCAAGATCCACAACGGACAAATAAATAAATAATGATGGTAGATTGTGGGCTTAATCTTCTCCGTGGTGCCTGCCCTGTGACCCTGGTGCAGCTCACACTCCTTTCTCCAAGTTGACACTGCTGTGGTAGGACATTGACTGTAGTGAGCTCCATGTCACCTGCTAACACAGAGTTTATTGTATCCTGCATGATTGCCAGGGGCCAAGTATTGGCACACAAGGCTCACTGTCAATTGGATGGATGGAAGGAGGGAAAAGGGTGAATACCAAGCCCTTTATAAATGTTTTCAGTCTTATATTCTCTAATTCGTGGGGTTATTTTTCAATTGGGATGTTTGGGAAGTAAAAAGAATGGCACATATTTTTATCTCTACTTTATATAAATATGTGATAAGTACTTTTTTTTTTTTTTTTGCCAGTCATGGGGCCTGAACTCTGGGCCTGGGCACTGTCCCTCAGCTCTTCAGCTGAAGGCTAGCTCTCTACCACTTGAGCCAGAGCACCACTTCCAGCTTTTTCTGCTTATATGGTGCTGAGGAATCGAACCCAGGACCTCAGGCATGCAAGGCAAGCACTCTACCACTGAGCCACCTTCCCAGCCCCGTGATAAGTACTTATTAATTGCTTGGACTGCTGATCCACTCTTCAAATGTCAAATGCTCCCACTATGAATTTTGGAGCTCCCCTAACAGAATCATGGTCAGGTAAAGCAATTAACCCAGAATGGGAGGTTGCCTTGTGGAAGCATCGGAAGTGAGTGGGGTGAGCCAGGCCCTTCCTGGTGGAGATGAGCCTTCTTGGTTTTGATGGAAGGAAGGAATGAGATGACCTGGGCTTATAGACAGACAGTGTCAGTCAGGAGAAACAGAGTCGATGGCTGGAGAGGCTCCGCTGTGGCACAGGACACTCTATGTGTGTGTGTGTGTGCACGGGCAAACGTGCGTGCCAGTCCTGAGGCTTAAACTTAGCGCCTGGGTGCTGTCCCTGAGCTTTCGTGCTCAAGGCTAACATGTTACTACTTGAGCTCCACTTCTGGCTCTTTTTTTGGGGGGTGGGCAGTCCTGGGGCTTGAACTCTTGGCCTGGGCACTGTTCCTGGGCACCTTTTTGCTCAAGGCTAATGCTCTACCACTTTGAGCCACAGCACCACTTCCAGATTTCTGGTGGCTAATTGGAGATGAGCCTCATGGATTTTCCTGCCTAGGCTGGCTTTGAAATGGAAGCCTCAGATCTCAGCCTTCTGAGTACTAGGATTACAGGTGTGAGTCAATGACACCTGGCTCACTTCTGGCTGTTTTGGTGGTTAATTGGATATAACAGTTTCACAGACTTTCCTGCCCAGGCTGGCTTCAAATCATGATCCTCAGATCTCAGCCTCCCAAGTAGCAAGGCTTACAAGCATGAGCCATCAATGCCCAGTCACAGGATATTTTTAACATCACCTCACTGCTTCTGGTATTCCCCACCACTCCATCTACTCGGTGAACTCTTAGTCACCCTTTGAAGCCCAGCTCAAACAGGACCTTCAGGAAACCTCCCTGTACCTTCCCAGGATAGAGTGGGAAAGCGTGTCTATATTGCCCTTGCCGAGTGGCTGGAACTTACTGGTTTGTGAATCTTTGCTGAACTGTGAGCTCCTCTCGGGTAGGAGCTGTGGTGTTGCCAGCCAGGTTTCCAGGGGCTTAGGCAGTGCCTGGTGCTCAGAAAGTGCCCCAGCTGCTTTGTACAAATTAGGTGAATAGGATGTGGGGTGTCTGAGTAGAAGGCAGGTGGGCATTGTCAGGGGTGGAGAGATACGTACCCCTCCACCCCTGTGTGGGCAAAGCATCCAGCGAGACTGATCTAACCATTTTTTTTTAAATGAGATTCTGAAAATCCAGTTCTGTATGTCGACAACATTAGCAACTAGTCCTGTGTAGAGGAAAAAGTAGCTTCACTCTGCAGACAGGAGCTGGCTTGTGTGTTCTCAGAAGTAATCAGAAGCCCCCATTGGGTCTGTTGAAAAGGCAAGCCAAAGGATGCTAGGTTGCCAGGGAAGAGTGTCCAGGGGAGCTTGGGTGCCGTGGGGCAGGAAGAGGCTCTGCAGGGGAGGAACGGCACCGTGGGAGCCGCTCCTGTCCAGCTACTTTGCAGCCTTCCTCAAACCTTGCTCAAACTGAGCCGCCCTTGGTATTATTTATGATCATCAGCACGGTGGGTATGATGTTATTGTTTCCCGACATTCCATGGGTATCAGATATCAGCTGCCATTGTGAAACAGGTCTGCAGAGATCCGATAGCAGCCTGCCAGTTTCAGTCTCTGATGACAACACGGAAGCTCCCGGGTCTGAGGACCACAGAGGATGCTTCAAGAGGCAACATCACCTTTACAAGTAGGAAAAAATAAAAGAGGAGCTGAAGGTGAGAAGCACCTGTCTAGCAAGCATGAGGCCCTGAATTCAAACCCAGTGCTGTCAACAAAGACAGACATGAAACCCATTTCCATTGGTCATGAAAAAAATGAGTCCTCGAGAGAAGTACATCCTTGAAAGTGTGTGTTTTTATTTTTAAAAGTGAAACTGTTGGAGAGTTCTAGTACATTAAATACTGGAATGCAAAAAGAAACTAGTCGGAAAGTGTTGGAGGAAGATGTAATCTCATGGGTTCACTTTTGTGCAGACGAAACCGGAAGGGGACATGCCAGGAGCAAAAGGCTCAGTCAAGGTTACAGGTATGACCTTGAAAGAACAAAATAAACGGAGGACCTCTTCCTTCCAGCCCTGTAAGCTTTTTCACAACACCACGTTGACTTTTCATAAACAATCATTTTGGTTGAGACAGTCTCTTCTGATTCATTATAAGGTAGTCTGCAGACGTTTTATTGGGTAAATCTGTCATTTGTCCAAATCTATATATAGTTCTTTTCTTTCCGAAAAATGTAAGCTCTTCCAAACTGCTGAGTCAAACAGAGAACATCTCAATATTTCTGAGGCTTGAGGGTTGAGTCAGTGCTCTTCACAGCCCTCAGAAAAGCATCTCAGGAACCAGGGAATGAATGAAATGGCAATGAAGTTTCATGAAAGTAGGTACTGCCTCTCTCCATGCTGTATCCTCTTCAATATACAACCATT